GTCGTCGCCGCCGTCGCCGCCGTCGCCGTTATCGTTGTAGTCGTTGCCGTTTTGGTCGCCGTGATGATCGTAATAGATGTAATTGTTGTAACCCGTAATTTGACTAATAATGTTAACACATATCGCCAATGGCTGGCTGCATTTTGGGCTTTATCAGGCCTGCAAGCACATTAGAGCACGGCATATGTACGGCCGACACGTTGCACCAGGCAGTGCCCCAAAAATATCGACGTTCATGGCTACCTGGTTCGAGTGTGCGATGGAGCCAGCAAGGCAGTCGCGGACAAATCAATATCCTATTAAATCGCCAGCCTCCCCTGCTCTTATTAAATTACACCTGCACTATTCACACACGCTTACAATATAGCACCTTTCTCAAACTTAGGTACAACAATTTTTTCTAAAAGCCTTGTGTTTCTCATTCGATTATCGAAACGGCATGTTTTTCGTCCGATTCCAGCCTAAAAACACAACAGAAAACAGTGACGAGTAGTATTCCACCTTAGAATGAGAACAACAAGAAATGTTACTACGAATATAGCGCCCCCTCGTACACTATTCTATTAGCCATAATCTTACAGATCTACCGATTAAGAAATAATCATTTTCTCTTTTATCGACTATTTTAAGTAAATTACTACACATTATATATTTTTAAAGATATATTTATTCATATTATTATATTCATGTATTAACTTATGATTTATTTTATTCTTTTTATATCTCAATATTTATATTTTTTTTCTTTTATATCTTTCTTATCTTTTTCCTGCTATATGTACGTTTTTGAAATTTACTTTTTTGTTTTATGTTAAATGTTTCACAAAGTTAACATTTATATAAAATTTTATAATGATTAAGTATATAAAATTTTTAATATTATAATTTAATTTAATTTCTTAGTATAGTATGTTATAAACAATAAAATAAATGTTACTTTTATTTTATAGTGGAGTAATATATTATAAAATAAATCAAATAATTTTGCTGTAACTAATATTTTAAATTCTATATATTGAAAAATAATGATAATAATATAAGAATATAATTTTTCCATAATAATCGACTCACTATATTTTATTTATCTATGATTTCGATTAAGCATGCGCGTATATATAATATGAACAGCATCTTTTTGTGTTGATCACATTGGTTAATGATCATGGATTTTAAATTATTTAATGCTAAATAATATTTATATTTGCATATAATTATAATTTAATTAATATATAATAATTTTTATTAAAATTAAAAATCCTATATTTTCAATAAAAAAATAAATGAATTAATAATAAGTTAAATTTTATAATACAATTGCAAATGTTTTTTTTTTATAATTTCTCAATTGTATTAATTTATGTAAAAGCATCATAAAATATTTTAATATTAAAATATATGTATATTTTTAATACAATTAAAATCAAAATTTAGATATAGTATTGTATAAATGAAAATGAAATAATAATGAACAATCAATGGAAAAAATATCTATTTTGGTTTGCTCAAGAACACATTGATTTTCGTAAAGCTGTAAGTAGTTTTTTTATTTAATTTTTGTTTGTTTTTTTCAATAAAAATAATTAAAATATTTACGTTTATTTTTTTTAGGAGATGGAATCTATTCTTAATATATTTGGCATGAATATGTATATCTATCCTAAATTAAAAGAACATGTAAGAAAATAAAAATATTTATATTCATATGATTTATAAATAAATATATTACAAATTGTTTGTTTTAGCCATATTGGATAGTTAATTTACCTTCAGAAAATATAGCAAACAAAATTTCAAGCAGAGCAGTCTCTGTACGGTTTTGCATAGAATTATGGGCTAATAGTAAAACAATTGAAGATTTGCATAGTAAGTTAAAAAATTATCCAATATCAGAAATTAATAAATATGCCGGACCACATAAATCTTTTAAAATAATAGTTGAAACATTTTGCAAACATTTTTCACAAAGTGAAAAAATAAAAAAAATTGATGTAAGTATATAATTAAATTATATAAATTTATAAAATTAAAATAGATTATTTTTAAAATTAAATTATAAAAAATTCTTATTCTAAATTATATATATATATCTTTATAAATAAATAAATAGTATTGTATAAAAGTCTTTCAGTTATTTACCATTAGAGGGACCAGTAAGATTGAATAATCCAGACACAACATTATGTTATATAGAATTTTATGGATTAGATCCTAATAACATTCCTGAAAAACCTTATGAATTATTCTTTGGTAGATGGGTTGGTATCTTTATATTATTATAATATATTTAACTTATTATATATATATTATCACTTTATACAAAAAATTTTTTAGATTACAAGTGGACAAAGAAATTTAATTCAAAAATTATCCCTGAAAACAAGAAAATTTATTGGTAATACATCTATGGATCCTCAATTATCATTAATAATGGCTAATCAAGCTCAAATTCAAAAAGGAGATATTGTTCTTGATCCATTTGTTGGTACTGGATCTTTATTAGTTGCTGCTTCACATTTTGGAGGATATACTTTAGGAACAGATATAGATTTTTTAATGCTCCATGGTCGTACAAGGCCTAGTAGAATATCACAAAAAGTAAGATATTTGTTTTTCACTTATTGAGTATTTCAAATTATTATATAAAAATATTAATCAGATTCGAGGAAAAGATGAAAATATTGCCACAAATATGAGTCAATATGGAAAAAGATCATATTATATTGATGTAGTTGTATCAGATTTTTCTTATCCTTTATGGCGTTCCGATATGTGTATAGATGCTATAATTACTGATCGTAAGTATAATTATTTTTTAGATTAACTTATGAATTTTATTATAAATAATTTAATTTGTTTATTAATTATAGCACCTTATGGTATAAGAGAAGCAACAGAAAGAATAGGTACAACTAAATTAAATCCAGTAATAGAGGAACATCAAGCTTCATCTCATATACCATCTAAAATTGGTTATGATTTACCTCAAATGTATAAAGATTTACTAACTTTTGCAGCTAAACATCTTAAGTTAAATGGTAGATTAGTATGTTGGTTTCCCTTATTTAGGTAAAATATATTAATTCATTAACAAAAATTATTTATATGTATATATCATAAGTATTTATTTTTTTAAGTTAAAATATAGAACATAATTTTTTTAGAGATCAATATTCAGAAGATCAATTACCAACACATCCATGTTTGGAATTAATAGCTAATTCAGAACAAATACTTAGTAATTATACTAGTCGCAGATTATTAACTTATAAGAAAGTAAAAGATCCAAAAGTATGTAGAAATAAACATTTTATATAATTAAATATAAAATTATTTTAAAAAAAGTTTTAATTCATTTCTTTTTTTAGGAATCAGATGAAATAATTTCTACTAATTTAATCGATTTCCGAGAAAAATATTTTGCACTACGAAATGAAAGTAGAAGAGAAAAACGAATGAAGAAAGCTGTAGAAAAAGCAAAAAAACGAGAAATTTGGGAACAGAATAATAAAGAAAATCCAAAAAGATGACTATAATATTATTTTACGTGAACAAATATTTATTTTCTTTTAAATTCGTGATTTAAAATATAATTTTTTTAAAATTATTATTTTTTTCACAATCATATGTGAAAATATGAATGACATTCAGGAATTTATTACAGATTTGATTACATTGAAGAGACTTAAAAATGATAATAAAACGATTTTTAATATCTTTAAGTGAAAATATATCGAAAAAGTGATAAATTTTTTTCATTAATTTATGATAAAAATCTTTAAAAATTACTTTCTTAATTATTTCATTATTTTGCATAATAATTTTAATGTCCAATTTACTTGATTTACTAAAGGATTCACTTATCAAAGAAAATTTATATCGAGCAATAAATATATATATATGTGTGTGTGTGTGTATATATATATATATTCATTTCTTATATATATATATATATATAGATTGAAATATAAAGAGTTACATATACATTTACATATGTACAGTACTTATAAACATGTACATATATATATAAATTTATATACCTAAATTTCAAGTTGTAGTTGTCCTAATAATCCTTCTAATGCTTTAATACTTTCATCTGTAACTTTTGATTGATATTGTTTTTCAATTTGATTAGCTGCCCATTCACTTAATTTTATTGCATCTTTTTTTTTAGAAGAAGGACATTTGGGTGATGTAGCAATATTATTTGATGCCTATAAATTCAAACTCATAAAAAATTTAATATTATAATATGTTTTTAGTAAAATGTTTTTTCTTACCAATAATAAACCATATAAAGCTCTAATATTATTTGGATTCAATCTTGCAGCTTGACAAAAATATGCTTTTGCTAATTCCATATTTTCAAATCCACCCTAAATATAAGTAAATATTTATTATATCAAAAAAATTCAGGTTTCAAATATTATCAAATAATTTTTTACCTGAGAATATTTTATTTCTGCATATCTTTGATAAATTAAATGACTATGTGGATTATGCAATATGAGTTCTTCCATACAGAATGCAGCCTTAGAATATTCTTGTTCTTGTAAATATAAATCGCACAATTCATGCCATGCTTCTTGATCACTCATAAATCTGTAATGGATAAAAGATATATTCACAATTGTAATAAGAAGTATAAACAAAATTATATTTAATCACTGACTTTTTTAAGTATTCTGTAAGCTCTTTAATAGCTTCTGGTATTCGACCTTTTGCTTTTAATATAGCTATACGTCTTTTTCTTGGTGCAGCATTTGTTTCATCTCTTTTTATAATAGAATCCAAAACTTCTAATGCTTCATCATACCTAAAATATTTTTTATTTTATTTATATTATATAATATAAATATACAGTATATCATAATTATATCATAAATAAATTTTACATTTCCAAAGCTTCGAGATGCATAGCATGATATTTATGAACTCTTAAACTGCTAGGAAATTCTCTCTTTAATATTTTAATGCAATATTCTGCTAAAGAATGACGATCACAATCCAATGCTGCTATACAGACTTGTTCCAAAACCAGATATTCTATTTGAAATTTACATATATAAATTATAATAATAATTAATTATTAAACATTTCAGAAAAAAAACATTTTATCATACTTTCATTGCCAAGATGATCAATTTTTCCCATTAATTTAGCCTCCCATAAATCAACTACATCTTTACTTCGTCTTTCACTATCTTCTCTCCATGTTCTAAACAGATCTCGTACTTCTATATATAATAAAATAAAATAAAAAAATTTAATAATTTTAATAAATATAATTCTAAAAAATTATAATTTATTAAATTATATTTTTTATCAACTTACCTTTCCATGATAATTTATCATATTGATCCTTCATTGTTGAAACGTTACTTTGAAAAAATAATGATATAAATAATATATAATAGATTTATGAGAAACATATATAAAATAATATTTAATATTTGAGATAATTAGAATCATTCATGATAAATTTAACGTAAAAACAAAAAAGTTAATTGATTTTTACATTAAAAGAATTCTTTAATTTTATTTAATTAATAGAATGTTTCCTTATAATAATAAGAATATTTCTTAATATTATAAATTTTATATAAATATTATATAATTATATAAGCGGTGAATATTTAAACATTTTATGTATTTTTTATTATAACCTAAATAAAAAGAAAGATATCAAAAACTATACATATATCAAGCAAATGAATAGAAAAAATATTAAAACAAACTAAAAAATATTAAAATAATATACATGCATATATATTTATAATGTAATAGTAATTAATTATGATACATTCTCTAAAAAAATTGAAATTATAGTATACAATATAATGTTACATACGTAGAACAATGTACTATAAATAAGTAATATGTAATTCAAATTTATATAAAAACAATTATAATAATATAAATAAATTTATGATAAAATATTGATTGGAACTAACATATACGTAGTTTCAAAATAAATTGTTGAAAATATAGATTATGTACGTACTTACTTATGTAGATCAGAGTTCGATACATAAACTATATGAATAATTATTTAATAAAAAAATTGTAAAATAAATCATCTTTCAAATATATAATGTAAGTAAAAGATATAAAAAACAATATATATTTCATAATATATTATAAAAAATATATACATATATAATTATATTATTATATTATGAATGATTTATAAAATTCAATAGATTATAGAACATAAAAATATTATGTTTTAAGTACAAAAATATAGAAATCTCAA